AGACAATATTAGCAAAGTGTGTCGTAAAACCCTTTACCTCGGGCGTGTGATATAAGCACTTTTTCTGAACGTTACACAATTATAGTGTTTTGAGCAACTATGCATCTCACCCATGTTTAAGGTTACATAGAAGTAGTTAAGGTTATTGTCCACATTTGCATAAAACGGATCGTGTTTCCAAATTCAGCAGATTGGATTTTCTCATCGATAGCACTATTGATAAAGTCAAAGATGAGCAAGATAAGTCATGAAGCCAAAATGTGTCTTTTTTCGTAAGTAGAATACTGTGTCTCGAAGCTATATTTTACATACATTGTACGCTCTTTATAAACATTATGAAAAGAAAGGAGCTTATGACACTACCCTCACCCAAACTAGCAAAGTCAACAAAACTCGACTTAAGCATACCCTGACCTACCGCCATTGAAAAAATTAGAATTATTCCAGCTATATGGCAGCGGTCTGTAAATAATCGAGTCTGGACCACACAATCCAGTGATCAACATCATGAGCATCGATCTACGCAATTGGGATACGATGGCATGTGTTAACCCGACCCGATCCCGCTAGTCGCCTCTTACGACAAGCATGGGATACGGCAAATCAATTCGCACCCGGATATTCTCGGGCTGCTTCGTAAATGAACAACACACAAAAACACACCAATAATGGTAATTGAAAATTAAGTGGATAGTACCTGCATCGTTCCGTAACAACCTTTACCATGAAATTAATGGGATGACGTGTCTCTTCTTTCGATGAACCTTCAGCAGCAGCAGCTCTTACCCACGACCATTACAACCTGAAGAAACAACTGATCACTTCCTAGCTGGGGCCCTACTCAGTTACTCTGTCAACCTGACTGGCTGCAAGGTGGTGTCTCAGACATCCCCTCCCATCAAGACCAACGACTTTGGAGACGACATCAGACACGGCCGCTACGTCATGCACGGCCCCCTTAACAACCTCACGTTCTGGAGACAGCGTTTTGTGGATGACAAACACTCCACAAGAAGTGGTGGGTAGCATGTTCTGAATTAGCATTATGCATTTCTTCTGCCTTTATTAAGTTATCATAAACATGTTTATGTCGCAGACAATCTCAAAGAGATTCAAATTGGTATGGCAATAATATAATTTGAAGGTTATTTTAACAATGCTCGAGTTTATTCTTGTTTTCATAATCTGTTCTAAGGCCCCACGTCCCGCCTCACTGGCATCCAGATGGACGCCACTGGCTACGCTTACGTCTACATACACGACTATGACCCGAAGACGTTGACCAGATTGGCTTATCTACACATGGAGTGTTGGGCCATGACAGGTATATTCGACATTGCGTATCATAACGTCTTAAGTTCTTTTGTTGTAATGAGAAGACAGACAGATGTTTATTCACGTACAGGAGCCACCAGCCTATTATAGAGATACAGAGCATGATCAACACTGTTTCACATGAAACGAACAAGACTTAATAGTACAATGACGGTATTTGGATAGAAGCAACGCAATCAATCAATACAAGATGTAGCTATACGACAGATATTTCTTCGAAAGTGGAATTACGCTTCTTCAAACGAGAAACACGTAATTTGCAAGGTATTTACAGATATTACGTTTTTTACTGGAAAATAATGAAAGCATTTGTCAAGAGTTGGAAAGGTGATAATATTGAGGAAGCATGGAGCACAATTGTTGCAAGAAGTGGGCACAAAACAAAAGTGGTATTAATCCTCAGTTGTTGGGATAATACGCATTGGGCATAAACGTTCATATCTTGGTACTTGGTACTATCTGCTCGTTTCTAAAACAAGACTGTCTTTTAATTTAAATTTAATAAAATTATAATTTGAAGTATTTGAGCAGCTGAGCTGGATATTGGCGCTATGCAGATATTAGCATAATAAACAAGTGGCTTCCACAGCTTCGTTTGTCCAACAGGACGGTCCGAAATCCCCGCGATTGGCCAGACGACCTATCAGACGTCGGTTGTTATTCCAAGAGCACGAAGCAGCACGACGGGCTTGATGTCAAGCTCGACGCCACTTGAATTTAACAGCATGGGGAAGGGCGCACTCGTCGGACGAAAGTCTATTACTTTTGTTCATGACAAAATTGTGTTTGGCGCCGCAGAAACACTGCATATGTACAACAGAATAGCTTGGAGCAAGTACCGTTAGGCGGGGGTTCATTGATGGTGAGGTTCTTCTCACATGACTGTAAAGTTGACCTTATGACGATCAGACAAAATCTGAATGGACAACCGTTCATCACTGACATCCTGGACAGGGTTGTTGTGCCACATTTCTATAAACATCCTCTGAAACACAAAGCCAGCCTTCATGGACGACATTGCTAGGCCACATCTTCCACGTACCGTTGGTGATTTCATGCGTAATTTAAAGGCGAGAGCAACTCGACCTTGGCCCGCCAAGAGTTCAGGTCTCAATCCCAGAGGACATGCTGAAAACGCCAACGAAATACTCCAGTACAAAATCTTGCTATTGAAACAGGCCCTCCATCAGGAATTGAACGCAATTCCTGAACGTCAATTTCAACGTCCATTACAGTCAATGAGGAGTCAGATATTATTGCATTTGGCAGAGGTTACACCAGATACTGAAGTTGTGCTCAGTTATTGATACTTATGTCATTTCTTGAGGGTTATGTGTCAGAATCTTGTCGAAAACGACCGCCCTTATTAATGTCATACGGCCATAGTTATCAACACTTCAAAATGAGTCATGCTTTTCTTTTATAAATAAACTATAGTTTTTCGTTCTTTCTGCGTTCGTATTTTGCTATTTAATTATTCCTTGAGGGTTAATTGTCACCAGATAGTAAGTTCAATTAAGGTTTGGATAAGTTCTTTTGTTATGATTAATTGAAACATATTGATACCATGACAAGCATGGCGTGTTGCGATACCTTTCTCCATGTGTATATTTCAGGGTTTACTCCAATTGCTCAAACGCCTAAAGGAAAACAATTACCCTTTGATGACATCAAAGCAGAGTTGCTGAAGGGATCTCTGCTCTCGTACAGCATCTACACCACATATTGCGAACCCAGGCCCAAGAACTATACCCACCTATATGTGGATGCTGGGCCTATTGATGGTGAGTATGTTCTGCAAAGTGATGGAAAGATTCTGTCATTTGTTAATGATGAGGATATTTCTTGGGACAACCGTAAAGCGACCTCCGGTTTATTACGATGGATGTTGTCAGTAGGACCTGAGTAGAATGGTAACTGTTTTCACTACAGCTGATGTCATCAATGAAAAGCGGTTATTATATCTGTGTGTTATTGTTACACGTTTCTGCATCCGTTCCGTCTCTGGGATTTTGTGAATTGCTGTGATGCCAAAGCAATAGCGTTTTTGTTTAAGAACCAAAACCTCAAATATTGCGGAAGGACTGAAAGTTCCGATCATATCCTAAGACATAATAGTGCATAAGCCCCATAGGTAAAATACACAGACACTTCTGCTCAGGTACTACCTGATAAGACCTGTTAAGATCCGGGTTTGAATTGGTCTTCAGCAACCGATGCTTGTCGTAAGAGGCGACTAACGGGATCGGGTGGTCAGGCTCGATGACTTGTTTAACACATGTCATCGTATCCCAACTGTATAGAGCGTACCTTACGATATTGATCACTGGCTTGTTTTGTCCAGACTCCATTATGGACTAGACAAACAAACAAACTACCTGATGGCTAACTGGATGTTAACGACGTTTCAGAGTATCGACTGGACCAGGACGGCAGCGTCGTTTTCACCTACCGGGTTGTGGACAGTGACTTATCAATGGATATCATAACAATCAAGATGACATCATCAGATGATATCACCTTAGAGAAATACACGTATTCACAAGTAAAGGGGAATCCGAGTCAGTTAGTTACAAAAACTTGCAAGTACACAATAGGAACATTTGGTTTTAGTGTGTATAAAATAACGTCCCCACAAACTTGATACAGGAAACGATATGTATGAGATTCCACAGTGTTGAATAAAACACTCTGTAAATGATCTGTCAATGTCTTTCTGTTTAGCAAGTATTTTAAATAGTTTATTTTATGTTAGTTTGTAGTTTGCCTAATATTGTTCAGTATTGAAATCATGTGCTGGTCATGTAGCCATTATTGTCTTACAGATTGATCAGTCTCATAAGGATGTATACAAGAAAGAGTATGTGAAGAAAGGACCACATATATATATATATATATATATATATCAACTGTGAGTAAGTGAGCTTGAGTGAGTGAGGGAGTGTGTGTGAGAGTAAGTGTGTGTGTGAGAGAGAGGAGAGAGTGTGTGTGAGTGAGAGAGAGAGAGACAGAGAGAGGGAGAGAGACGAGAGAGAGAGAGAGAGAGAGAGAGAGAGAGAGAGAGAGATTGAGGGAGATCAACAGACTAACCATTCCATATAAATGTAAAACGTCAAAGCCAGAGATAATCTGTCTCAGTTGCCTGCCAAAACAGATTCCATTGTACATGAAAGGTAAAAAAGCAATCACAATCCACAAGCGTGAGTAAACAGTGGAGACATGTTCTGTGATACTAATGTGAACACGATCAAAGTAATCTTGAGGACTATGTGACTATCAGATTGTGCGTAGTCATGGTGACCATACTTTCCAGCAATTTTGATGGTGTTGATTGTGTTTTCCTCTCAGATTGCAGGTAATAAGGTGTTTTTTCGTTTTAGTAAGAGTAAAATATGTTACAATTACCATTTTAAAACGCGTAATTTCGTTTACAAAGCATACACAACAACATATAGTATTTTCCTATCGACATAAGAAAGTGGGCGGTGCTTGATTAATGGCTATATGTATGTACACTAAGATCACTGCAATTCGTAATATCGCATTTCTAAACTCCTTGTGCATCGGCTTTGCTATACACATAAGCAAACAATACCTAAACACCAACACCAGAAAATAGGTTAGTAGGTCGTTGCAGAAATCAGATTAAAGCTGATCACCTGCTGTCGTACACGAAGAGGCTAACATGATCCCACCTTGTAGTTTTGCCATTCTTTTGTTAAGTATTCATTTGGGGTATGTTGAACGTTGTATAAGTGATCATGATGTGTTTTATCGCATTTTCGTTCATTCTAGTAGGTAATCATGCTCATTTGACTGAGGTATCGTTTGTTGGTTACTGGAGAGGGTTAGTAGATAGAACGTAAAGGAGTGGATAGGTGAAGAGTGGGTGTCACAAGATGGAAGATTTGCTGTGAGGAAGGGGTTAGGAGTTTGGCTGGGGTTTCTTGATGGAGAGGATGGAAGGGGCATAGAATACGATTAACTTAGTTGAACAAGCTGCTGAACTTTGCTGTCACTCTGATGAGTTGTCTTGCCCAGCTAACTGAGAGTGTTAGTTTAATTCCTGTTTTTTTAAAACTATTTCCATTGTTGTAGATGTCTTATTTTGATAAACCAAGTGAGTAAGTGAGTGAGTGAGTTAAAATTTAAAGTCCCATCGGCAGTATTTCAGTCATATGGTGACTATGAAAGTTGTAAATTTGTATATGTAACCATGAAATATAAACAAACTTATATGCTTACTTGTCTGCGAAGGACAGTAAAATAACTATAGGCTATAGCAGATTTATACTTAAAACTAGCATATAACCATAAAACACTGTTTCTCAGTTTAACGGTACAATTTTAAAATGGGTTATAGATTGCCAACAACTGAAGGTAGATCACCATAATAGGGACCATGGGGACTTAGAGTACATTTGCTTCCTGCATTGACTCTTGCTGGATTTACACCATCCCTTCAGTTGTAAGAAGATAAAGCAAGAGTGGATATGGTGCAGGCAACCAGAGGAACTAAAAAATCGGAGCAATATTGGATTCTATCTTGATCATTAGATTTTGCCACGAGTAAGGGGCGCAACTGTCCATAGCGAATACTGAAACCTTTATCTCCAATCAATCACTCACTTTAGAAGTCTTTAGTAGAACAGACATCTCTTGTACATCTGTTTCACCTAGTAGATGTGTGTCTGCCTGGGCGCCCAAGCTCTTAAATCCCGGGGAGTTCCTTGACTATTACACCAACGCCGCAGCTCTCAGCTACTTCGTGAACATCAAGCAATGTACCAAAGACATCTACAGCAACATTACAATGTATTCGTATGGGGACGTCATCACCAATGGCTACGTGATCAGTTACCCCACGGGGAAGTTCATCCTGACGTACAGCTCAGACAGAGAGGTAGATGGGAGGCACCTGAACCTATCTGGTTAGTTCTAACATACACCATAGACAAGAACCCTAAAACAATCTGAACACGCGTACACACGTCTCAGTCCTCACTAACAACTAATGAGTGAGTGAGTTTAGTTTTACGCCTCCTTTGGGTAGCAATGTGCCAGCAATATCACGGCGGAGAGCACCAGAACTGTGCTTTACACATTGTACCCATTTGGCGAATCGAATGCGAGTCTTCGGTGTGACTAGCAAACGCTTTAACCCCTAGGCTACCCCATCGCCCCAAACAACTACTAACTTAACGTGGACTGTGTGGTAATATGTATGTGAAATCGAATTTACATTTGGTTCTTTTCAGGTCCTGCTATCAGATCAACAGGCATTGCTCTTGGAGACTCAAGAGATGTGATTGTTGATATGAACGACCTCAACCCCGCTACCTGAAGTGTAATGGACCAATCAGAAGTTATCTGCAAAAACGACGGAAACGCCCAAGGGTGCTTATAAGTAACTATAGAGAAACTGTTCTGCGGATGGTACATGGATAGACATAACTATTACATACCTACATGTACCCGCGTAGATCCGGATCTTCAACAACCCATGATTATAGTAAGAGGCGACTAACGGGATTAGGTGTTAAGGCTGACTTTATTCATCGTATCCAGATTGCGTAACTAGATGTTCATGCTGTTGCTCACGGGAGTGTCTGGTCCAGGCACGAATATTTACAGACAACCGCCAAATAGCTGGAATATTGCTGAGTAGCGCGTTAAAAACAACAACAAAAAAGACATACATATATGTGTATGGACATTTGTTTCAACTAAAGCTGAATTTGGTAAAAACAGAATGCATAACTCTTCCTGACTATTCTTCAGTGGTTTCCAGTTGTTTGCTCAGACGCCCAAAGGAACTCTACTGACGACCTTGAACGATGTCCAGATGTCGCTTATGACTGGGGAGATTGTATATTACGTCTTTGATATCTATCATTGCTTACCAGTCGAACCGTTAGATGCTAAACAGTACTACGCTGGAAGAATCGTTGGTACGCAGAATAATTTAACCACATTTACATAAACACATGCAGACGTGTTTCCAAATACTTAACGGACTATTATGCATAAAAATACATTTTAATGGGTGGAAATTATTAACATAAATAACCAATGCTGTATGACCCTTCGTACATCATTATATTGTCGATATAGTTATCTTGCCCAGCTAATTGAGGAAGTGATAACAGAATATTCAGAATAGTTTTCGATGTCATCCATATATGTTTTCATTTAATTTGTGGACAGATACGTCTACTTCATAAGCTATTACCATGGACAGATATGACCAGTTACCCGTGCAGATCTGGGTTAGAATTTGTCTTCGGCAAACAATGCTTGTCATAAGATGCGATCAGGTGGTTAGGCTGGATGACTTGGTTAACGCATGTCATCGTATTCAAATTCAGTAGATCGATGCTCATGATGTCGATCACTGGATTGTCTGGTCTCGATTATTTACAGACCGCCGCCATGTAGCTGGAATATTGCGGAATGCGGCGTTACGCAACAGCCGATACTGCACACTCAGAGTGAGTGAGTGAGTTAAAATTTTACGTCACATCGGCAATGTTTCGGCCATATAGTGACGAGAAACATTTGGTTTAACTATCAGAAATATCTGTCGCAAAGGACAGTTAAACATAAGCAAGATTGCACACTCAGAACGTATATAGATACTGGCTCCTACAGGAATCCCTACAGTCGAGCGGGTAGCTGCTTCAGCCATTAAGGGAAGATATAATCACCTTATGTCCAGACTCAGTAATTAAACAATTACCGGATAAATCTGTGATTGAAACAGACGAGTACCGTGTTGAAATAGGCCTTTGCCTTGCTGAATATCACAATGTGGATGCTTTAAATAACAGTGCGACAAGACATCCTTCTTTGGAAGTATTTCAGAGAACTTCACGCGATATTATGGCTCCATATTGCAAAAATACCGCAATCATATCCTGTCGTGTGTGCCATGGTTATCCGAAACTGTGTCGCTTTCCTTCCGCAATAATCCTGTGTTAATTCAGTCATAGTATTTCCGCAGCATTTCAACACTAATTCCGCAACAACTGTGATTCTGCAGAAGTAAGATGATAATTCCGGAATCATGTGTACCGTACTGAAACGGGGGCCGTAGTCTTGATAATACTGTTGGATTTGTATGGACCTTTACAGAAGTTAAGTAATGATATATTAGTTAGTTTTGAACAGTTGGTTATGGCATTTAATGATATTTAAGTTATTCAGTCGTTTTATTTTCAGATTTCCGAATCAACAAGAAAGGTGCTAGGGTGTTTTCTGATCGTCTCCTTGGTCTCGGTTTTATTACAGTCTTCAATGTTGAGCTGACGTCCGAATCTGACATCACGATTGACATGTACATGTACTCCAGACAAACATCGGAGTCAACCCATTTGGCCAACAAAACGTGCACATATGGCGATACCTTCAAAATCTACAAACACTCTTTATAAATATAGTGTTGACACAAAGCCAATGGATTAATAAAATTACTCGTTTCCCTATTAGTTTGTCCCAACTTTTTTGTTACTTTGACTGTACTTGTGTTTCGATTATTGTCATTCGTTATTTTGAGAATTTGATTCAATTGCAAGAAGTACGTTTTGTTCCTTCCTTTAGAGCGAGTAAGTGAGTTTAGTTTTACTCCAATTTTACCAATATTCCACCAGAAATGCGCTTCACACATTGCATCCATTGGGGAATCGAACCCAGGTCTTCGGCGTGACTAGCGAACGCTTTAACCACTAGATTACCCCCACCGCTCCACCTCCTTAGATTAGGGTAATGTCCTGTGTACAAACCTCGGGGTTATTACACGCCCAATGTACCTATGTACCGTACGTATAATTGTATGAAACAACAACATGCCTTCATTTGAACATGCCTTCTTTTTGGACGTGGATCGCACTCCCTTTTTGGAACTGGCAACTATGTTAAAACAGCAATAACTCCAGACCATAGGATTTGCCTTCATTGTGTCAGTTGCTTATAACGAGAACATTCGACTGTATTACATATATTGACAGTGTATTGGTTTTCAATATTCACCAACCACAATGCAATGCTATGAAATGTCACCGTATGGTCAAAGTTACCCTGTACACAAACAATGATCCATATTCACCTTTGGACATATCAAATCGTCTTCTCATGACGAGTCACGAGTCACAGCAGGTTGTATAGAGTTCTCGATATAAACAACTCACTGCTCGAGAGGTCAAAGATACGACTGGTGTATACAGAAGCGGCTCATTATATCGGGTTGTCTGACACAAAGGACATTAAGGAAAAGTGTTGACATGAAAACCTTCCTGTTGGTGATCACCATTGGGCTGATGTATGTACAGAGTTGAGCATTAGACAATGTTGTATAATAGAAATATGTTTACTGAATTAGGAGCCATTGTTATTGACCAGGGCCTAGATTTTCGAAGCTCTCTTAGCGCTAAGATAGCTGTAAGTTAATGTTAATGTATGGCACTTACAACCTTTCTTAGCGCTAAGAGAGCTTCGAAAATCAATCTGGGCAATACCTGTGCCCGTATTTCGCAACTGATTCATGCATCATGCTTACGTCCCACCTCGTGCCCGTACACCGTTTCATAACTGTAAAGTGGTGAACGACTGAGTCAGTGCTTTGTCATTTGCTTTCGTCCCACATAGAGCTGATACACCGTTACATAACTGTAATATTGTTCTAAGCGGCATTCAAACTTTTAACAAGTCCGTTTGATTTCATTTGAGACCGATGAATTGCTCACTAACACAAAATCTAATAAATACAACAAAACCAAATTTTGCACAGTCAAATAAAATCGACAGACCAACTCTGATATTTTGTCTCATAATTTTGGTCACAGAAATAATACAAGTTGTTTAACAAACGATCATTATTTTGTTGTCACTTTTCGCTATTTCTTACGAGGGGGGACCACTTCCTGGTTGAACAGCTAGGTAATCAACAAGCATGTGTAGTGAAATTTCAATTTCACATGTGGTACCCTCACCTTTGGCTGTTCTACCAGCAAGTGGTCCCCTTCGTAAGAAGAGTTGGTCTGTCGATGTCATGTTACTGTGCAATATTTGGTTTTAAAATTCTTGTATTTATTAGATTTTATATGTTAGTGAAGTCCAAGTTCATCGGTCTCAAATCGTCATCAATTCCCGGGTTCGAATCCACACTTGTTAAAACTTGTGAAAAATTTCTTTGTCTATATATGATACACTGGAATTTCCTATATGTTATTAACCCAAAGTCCAAGGGTACTTAGGTACTTAGTGAGTGAGTGAGTGAGTTAAAATATAACGTCACAACGGCAATATTTCAGCCATATAGTGACGAGAACAAAGTTAGTATATATGATAAATACCTGTCACGAAGGACAGTACAACTTTAGCAACGTATCACAGAAGTCTAAAAAGTAAATCATTCAAAAAATGCAACTCGATATGACATATATTAACATTAAAACACGGTCTATGTACCACCAACAACCAAAGCTAGGCCACCTTGCCGGGCTTCATTGGAAGAAGGGTATTTAGTGTTATAACGCTTTCATTTATAAGAACCTTATTGTAAGGTTAGTGTCGGTTGCTGTAGGGAGGGCAGATTATGTTTACCTTTGTCCCGAACGTATTGTGTCATTCTTTTGAAATATTTCCCATCAATTTTTGTTCTAACGGCTGGATAGTATTATCTTTAACATTAAATCGAAACTGTTTGTTCTCTGGCGTTATATATGTACCACATTTCGTATTACACACATGTAATAAAGTTAGATCGTCGTAAATCATACGTAACAACATGAAATAGTTCGGGATAACGAGATTTCAGTTTATGATTTTTGAAAGAAGGAAACTTTCTCAACTAGCATTGCCTTAGCAGTAGATATATTTCACGCAGTTGATACAGAAACACGAGCCCTATAGAACGCTGTGGTGTCGTTGTGCTAGCGACAGCGTTGGCGTGAACCTCCATGTATTTACTCACTCGGGGCGGTGGTGTAGCATCACTCGTCACGCAGTTCGACCCGGGTTTGAATTGTAATTATGTGTTAGGCTAAATCTGGTGATCTCGGCAAGATACTGCTGAAATATTGCTATGTGCTCAATTCCCAAATTACCCACATTGCTCCATGACTTTTGGAGAATATTTAGGATCGGTGTGAATAGTTTCACATCGATCTTCTATGGATGAATCGCTGATTTTATGGCTATTTGAACGATATATGCTAATGAAAGATACAAACGGTTGATACGCTTTTTCCTTTTTTTAACAAGATTAGCCGGGTGCTCCTGCAAACCATCACAGCTATCATTTGGAGATGCTGTCAAGTTTCTCAAAGTCGGGGGTCAGATATCCTACGACTTGAATATCAGCAAATGCAGCAACAATCTTCCCAAGGATATCCCATCCTTCTCGTGGGGGGACAGGGTAGACGACGTCATCATCTTGGATGAGGGGACCGACTTCTCGGTAGAATTCTCTATCACCAGGAAGGTCAACGGCATAAGGTATAACCTGACAGGTAGGTCATTCAACAAATGTCGGACTTGTCCCGTTGAACCATGTCATCCTGCATGTGGGATTTAATCCAGAATTCAATCACACGTGATAAAGTCCAGTTTAGTCTAAAGTGAGTCAGTGAGTTAGTTTTACGCCGCACTCAGCAATATTCCAGCTATATGGCGGCGGTCTGTAATTAATCGAGTCTGGACCAGACAATCCAGTGTTCAACAGCATGAGCATCGATCTACGCAATTGTGAATCGATGACATGTGTCAACCAATCCAGCGAGCCTGACCATCCAATCCCGTTAGTCGCATCTTCCGACAAGCATGGGTTACTGAATATTCTAACCCGGAACTTCACGGGTCTTAAGGCTAAAGCATACAGATATATATATATATATGTAGGGCCAATGCACTGGGGTACACCGGCAGGCCCAGAGACAATACACTAATTATTGTCAACTACAAGAGATCATACGGATCTGGTCATACAGGCATATACATGTACATGTGTCTTACATGCTGATATTCTCTCCGCAATATTCTGTAAATAACCAAGTCTAGATCAATGCATACATATTCGGGTGGGTTGAATGCAAGCCAAATGAAATACTGTACATACACGTGTATGAGCCAATAACTGTTTTGTAGGTTGAATACAAAACCCACACACCCAACATATGTCTATCAAATCATGTAAGAGCCATTCTCACAAGATATTGTTGAAATGTATAACGATTTGCAGTTTACTCGGGGTCGACAGTAAATGACGATTTAGACACAACGCTGGTTTACTCAGAAATTGTCAGTATCAAAAGAACACAACGAAACATGTCACGATTTGTAGTGAGTGAGTGAGTTTAGTTTTACGCCGCTTTTAGCAATATACCAGCAATGTCATTGCGGGGGGACACCAGAAATGGGCTTCACACATTGTATCCATGTGGGGAATTGAACCCGGGTCTTCAGCTTGACGAGCGAACGCTTGAACCACTAGGCTACTCCACCGTCCCTTTGTCAGATGAAAGGGAAAGTAAACTTAACATAGCATATTTTAATACCTCAAATACAACCACGACACACGACACCACTATTAACTATAAATCATATAGTATGATTTAGAATTACAGACCAGGCCCTGATTTCTCAAAACAAACTTAAGTCTGAGTTTAGACTTAAGTTAGAGTTTTTCCTCAAAATTGAGAAAATGCATTTCCCAAAATGAACTGAAATTGATATTAAACTCAAACATAATAGACAATTTGAGTTTGGTGGATAGATTACCTAAGTTGTTTGTGGATTTTTATTTAAAATGCAGTTGAATAAACAACTCAGTTTGAAATTTGAGTAAAAACTTAAGTTTGTTTCGAGAAATCGGGGCTTGAAAAGTGTCGCAGATTGAGATAAACCACTCAGCTCAATATTATCCAAAACTTGCGTCAGCTTCATAAAACGATTTAACTTCATTTTATTTACCATTTCACTTCCGATCTTTTCTATTTTAACACGTTACCATTTATACGTTGACTTATATTGTATACATTTTACAGATTAACATGACTCTTTTATCAGTGTCATTAATGTTTTGAATGGCATGTAGAAGTCATTAACATAGCCAGTGACAATGTATTGATGTCGACTTCTGTATTAAAAGGAACACAACGTTTCGGAGTGTCTCCCTTCTTTTTCATCGTGTATTAAAGTAGAAGTCATCCAGAAACTTCCCTCACTTACCAATATAATTGCTCGCTACATTAGCTGTGTTTGTGTTCGGTTGTTCACCGACACACACTGTTATGGTTGACCTCTCCAGCGCGCAACCATCTCGTCAGAAAACAATGCCGCTATATAGAAAGGAAAGTGTTGGTGTTCAGAATAGACAGACGCTGGAATACTTCGAGTTAAAGAATGTTTTACCGGGACAGAAAACATAGGATTTTTTTAGAGAGTGGCACGGCACACAGGTGCCAGTTAAGACAGGGTACAGCAATACAGAAATATGACCATCTTTCTTTTTTGTAAAATGAAATGACAGTTTTTCTCTTTTCCACCTGTGATCAGATCGCCCTGTACGGTTCACTCAGGTATCCATCAGTAACGACCAGGTTTTTGTGGAGATCACGGACGTCAATGAAGATGTTCCCGACTTTCTTTCAACAGGCTCTATTCAGTGTGCAAATAAAGATGGGTGAGGCCTTTATTTTGAAAAGTATCACATGCTTGCTTGAGTCCCTTGAACATTCTGGAGATTCCCAGCAAGCGATGTCACAGAGAAGCCCCAAAACACTCGGTATCAAATGATTTCATTACATTGTACTTGGATAGGTAGGCCATCGGAGAGGCCTGATCTCTATCATTGTCTCTCTCTCTCTCTCTCTCTCTCTCTCTCTCTCTCTCTCTCTCTCTCTCTCTCTCTCTCTCTCTCTCTCTCTCTCTCTCACTCTGAGAGGATTTAATCACGTGTCCATTAATTTTTTAAATCTACACCATGGTTTGCAGTTACCTGCTCATTGTGTAACAAATACTGTTTCCAGCGGTGTTGTTGTCAACAAGTTGTCCACACCAGGGGGAGAGGTGACCACCCAGGAGGACCTCATCAACCACCTCCGCATGGGCTACGACTTGACCTACGTGCTTCAGTGGGATAAGTGCTCCCCGGGTAACACTACGACCAACAAGTGGTGGTCAGGGAGAATATCGGGTGAGGGAAGGGGATGTAAGCAGCAAGTATATGAATGCCAGGTTGGTTGGTTGGTTGTTGAACGCTGCATTCACCAATATTCTAGCTCTGTGGCGCCGCCCTGTAAATAATCGAGTCGGGACCAGACATTCCAGTGATCAACAGCATGAGGATCGATCTGCACAATTGGGATACGATGACATGTGTCAACCAAGTCGGCGAGCCTACTCGATCCTCTTATGGCAAGCATTTGGTTGCTGAGGTCCAATTCTAACCCGGATTTTCACGAGTGACAGGTAAATGAGAGCATCAAGATTGAATACAGGAAACGTGCGTACATGAGTGAACGAGGGAATTAAGGCGTTGTGAGTGAGTGAATGAGGGATAAGTGAGAACCAAGGAGTGTCTGAAGATTGAGTGAGTGGTACATGAGTGTGAGGGGAAACTGAGGAGAAAGTGGAGAAAGGAGACCGAGGAGAACGTGAACAATTGTGAATAAGGTGGTGGGTTTTGAAGAGTAAGAGATCATATTATGGATGACCATCAGTAATATGTGTTTTTCCTGGAACGTGTACATATTTCTTTCCAGGTTATCGGTTTGGCCACAACGGTGGCGTCAGCTTCACCCAAATTGTAGACAGTGCCCAAAAGGAATTCTTCATTGAAGTCAGTGTCATGAAGTCCAGTGTCAAGGTCCAGATGTTCAACATTGAAAGGTTACAAAGACAGCAGGGGTCGACGGAAACAAGGATGTGTGCATTAGGCCAGAGCTATCGTGTCTTTACACACCAAGACGCATAGTGCCCTTCAAACGATCAATAAATCCTGCCTGTATTTAGTTCTTGCTTCAGTTGTGTTATATATGATACACTTAATGAATGTGATGGTGGCTGATCTTCAGGGACCGAGCAGTAAATATTCCAACTGTGGAGGTGTTTTGGTTGCACATCTAGCACATGTTTGGGGAGCATTTGAGTCAATTCAATTTCCAGTATTTTAATTCTCTTTTCCCCAAACTAATGTCGAACAATGATGAAGTACAGCATGTGAAGCCCGCCCTTTGAATACACCACTACACACGATATAAAGCCAGATTCATTCACTCACTCAAGGAGGAAAACGCTTGGTGGTGATTAGGATTTTTGGTAGTAACTATTCATGCTGCTGATCGCGACCATTTCTGGAACAGATAAACCATAAGTAGATATGACAGTTATGCGAAACGGCCTAACACATTACTGAATGAGTGAGTTTAATTTTACGCCGCTTTTAGCAATATTCCAGCAATATCACGGCGGGGAATACCAAAATTGGACTCCACACATTGTACAAATGTGGGGAATCGAACACGCCGATCTCCTTAACCTCTAGGCTACATCACCGCCCCAATTAGTGAATGACCACACGCTTAATTCAGCATACTCATTTATTTTGCCCATTCCTTCCAATATTTGGGGCGGTAGGGTAGCCTAATGGTTAAAGCGTTTGCTCGTCACGCCGAAGGCCCGGGTTCGAATCCCCACATGGGTACAATGTGTGAAGCCCATTTCTGGTGTCCCACCGCCGTGATATTGCTGGAATATTGCTAAAAGCGGCGTAAAACCAACACTCAGTCAGTCAGTCAGTCAAAGCATATACAGTGAAGCGCTCATAAAATTATGGACATGTCAGGTGTATATTTATATCTGTAATACATTGTTCAGAGGTTTCCATTTGGAATTAAATTCCGTGATATTGCTGGAATATTGCTAAAAGCGGCGTAACGCCATACTCAATCACTCCTTCCATTATTTAAGGGATGTATTACGTTTTTGTGCACTTGTGAGTGAGTGAGTTAAGATTTTAAATCACATCGGCAGTATTTCAGCCATATAGTGACTAAATCAAGTTATAAATATATAAAACAATTTAAAGTAAATTATAAAATTCTGTCAACGAAGGACAGTAAAACAACTAGATTAGCACTTATCAAAGGATAACAGTCACACAGAACGGGTTAATGCGAATTAATACGAAATTTGTGACCGTTATGAAACGCATCAGAGATGTTTTTCTTTGGTCTGCATAAAATGCATTTGAATCAGGATGTCGGTGCTGAATCATTTTTAATCGATTCAGCCGGACAATGTTTTCACACTGTGGCATACACTATTCTTCCCTGTATATTTGTATTGCCATGTGTCGCGTGATAAATGTGCGTATTCGCGACCGGCACCATCTGAACAAACTCAAACACGTAGGTGATAGTGAAATTCAAGGTTCCTGCTTTCAAAATGAATGGCCATGCGGAACCACATTTCTTTACGGATTTTAGGAATATCGGAAGCAGCTAGGTCTTTTGTCAAAGGGAACTACAAGAGCAAACACAAATGTGTTATGAAAATAGATTTATTATATTATCAGAAAATTGCCCAAAATACGTGCAGGTCATGTGCCAATTGTCAAGGGCACAGTCAAGCTGTTCCCGTACAATGTTTTATTTTGTGATTCTCCTTATAAACGTACACAGAAGTAGTCTCATCCCTCTTCGACTTCCTGCAGTTATGGAAAAATAACATTCAGTTTTGATTTTGAAGTTGCATCGATTACTGAAGACTTTATGCAGATAGTTTGATACAGATTATGGCGCGGCGTTTAATCCGCAGCCACTATATATTTTTAAAGATTTCAAGTAACGAACTTACAAGGCACTGGTTTGAAGGTTCTCCACGATACAGCTAAATTGGCCCCGTAAATGTTGAAACATGTTTCATGGAAATCACTATGAAACTGTTTAATAATACACTAGATCGGTACATGTTTGTAAACGAACGAACTTTCATTGAGACGAAATAACACAATCTGCACTCAGTCTGGTAGTTTCCATAAATTCACATGGACACCATGCATAACAATTATCATGTAAGGGAGAAATTGTTAGGATCTGTTGATCAGAATGAACATATTCGTTATGTTTGATGCATAATATATCAATATTTGTCATATTGACCTCTTGTTGCGCTAATTGTATCTCTTTCAAACAGCCAGTGAATTTCCAGTTCAGAATCAACTGCAGCAAGAACATAGCATCATCACAATGGTTTATTTTGGATGTATTGACTTTCTTATAGTCAAGGTTGTCCAGGCCCCGGTTTCTCGAAACAAACTTGATCTCAGTTTTGACTTAAGTTAGAGTTTTTGCGTAAATTTGAGAAAACGCAAGAAAATGCATTTCAGAGAATGAACTTGAAATCGATATTAAATTCAAACATAGTAGACAATTTGAGTTTGGTGGATAGATTACTTAACTTGTTTGGGTTTTTAATTTTTTTAAATATAGTTGAGTTAAAAATTCAGGTGTTTCAAATTGTCAGTTTGGAATTGGAGTAAAAACTTAAGTCTGTTTCAAGAAATCGGCGCCTGACCTCGGATTTAGCATCATTTCTTAAAATTACAAATCTATTGTCCTCTCTCTCAGTCCCTGCTGTTTCATTTCGATGTGTTGCCGAGTTGCAAATGAGACTAAAGATGAGCTAAGCGAAATTAAATGACATACTTTGCTCAAGTTAAAGTGAATTTGGTTTTACGCCACTTTGACCAACATTCCAGTTCTATGAAGGCGTGTCAGTTTCATGTAGTAGGACTGTCTAAGTAATGCAGGTCTCAGACTTCCATGGTCATCGCGCTATTAAAACAATAAGCATAACCACGGGCAGCGTGGGATTTGAATCCACGATGTTTCTGGCGTGTAAAGGGGACGTGACTCTGTACAGCGAATTGCTATGCTTTATACCAGTGGTGCACCCGAACCCCGTTGAGGAATGAAAAGCTCAAATATGTTTTATAATATACAGATTCAGAAGCAACGCCCACCAGTTATTAATTGTAATGTAACCTTTACTAACCATTATTGGCCATTATTAACTATATAGCATACTGCTTTGCCTAAATTTAATTCCAAATGGAAACCTCTGAACAATGTATTACAGATATAATTATACACCTGACATGTCCATAATTTTATGAGCGCTTCACTGTATATGCTTTGACTGACTGACTGACTGAGTTTTGGTTTTACGCCGCTTTTAGCAATATTCCAGCAACATCACGACGTGGGACAACAGAAATGGGCTTCACACATTGTAACCATGTGGGGATTCGAACCCGGGTCTTCGGCGTGACGAGCCAACGCTTTAACCATTAGGCTACCCCACCGCCCCTGTATATGCTTTGAAAAACAATGATATGATATATGTATCTACACCTGCTGAAGTGAAATGAATAAAAAGAATGTGAAAACAAACAAACAATCTATATAGCATACTAAATCGTATCGATTCATCGTTTCGTCATAAAGAAGCGACGTCATAACGAAGTTCTCTTATTCACAAGTTTCAGAATTCCTCTTACCAGTGAGCACCTGGACCCTGCTGGACTACGGAAGCGCGTGTAAAATATTGATTAGATATCCGATTATTTTTTGGTGTTGGTGCAAGAACCACGCGATGGTTTATATGGTATTACAACTATCTCCGAAGTAAGGTTGTACACATTGTTCCGTATCTTATATGGGAGTATTAAACTTTATTTGGCGTACTTTATCGGGTTTCATTTAGAGACTCGTGAAGGACTGAATTTCGACCGTAAAGAGTTGATCTAATGCAAATAATTAGTGGCATTTTACTCATGTCATCAGCACCTGAATGCTTACCTCTATGCACATAAACCGTAGACACTTTCTGTGCGAAACACGAAACGAGATCCAATTTGTTCTGAATTTCATCAAATTACTTTGGATTAATTCGTTAAAGGACATTGTTAACCAACTGCCAAACCAAAGTGATCTTAACAGGTTAGCTGATCGGAATGAGGTGACATGAACTAAGAATAGAGTTAGGCGCAATAAACCCTAACCCGAACACAATAAACACGAACAAGCGAGACGAAAACAGTAACCCTAACTGCGCTCAGTACACAGCATTATTGTTCAGTAAAATATACAAATTTTGAAGCATTCATAATTCGATGCCAAAATGCTTCACCCGAGTAAGTACTTCCGTTTGATTGACAGAAACATATATTCGGGTGTATAGAGGACGTTTTTCCACAGATATTAACCGATATAGCCGTTCCATACTGTTGAGACCGTCCTTGTCAAATCGTTCACGGCTTGTTCTATAGACAGCCATTCTGAAAATAAAACGTATGAAACATTATTACCTGACACAAAATATAATCCAGTACATTTACATTCATTAGTTGTGTTTTACTAAGTACTGTTTATATAAATTCTTTTTGTAAGAAAGGATATTTGAAAATGATGGGCATATTTAAACATCTTCCATTTTCAGGAAATGATCCATTTGAGAGTGTTTTAATCAACATACAAATATAATCCAAACCCCGACATCCGCCACCCCCAGAATATCACCCTCCATTTAAAAGTTTATTGATGGCTTTAATTTCCACTATAGACGAACAAATAGTCTTTAGTCCTACTCGGTCTTTACATTGAAAATTCAAGGTCATAGTGATCTGTTGCAATTAAATCTGGAATTCACCATGAAGGATACAATAACATCCAAGCTTTCTTTCTGGTTACGTGTTGTTATTTATAACACAACTTATAAATGTGTGTAAACGTCAGTGCTTATATTCAATTGAGTGTTTTAACATACCTACATTTTTATTCCACGAGTTCCACAGATAAAGAAACCGGGACACACAGAGATTTGGTCATTCCAAAGGGAACTGCATGTATTCCCAAAAGGAGGATATTTCCATGAGAGCGAATTTGTAAGCTGTGCCTCACCATAAGAATAGCAACCAAGGATGTGAGAAGCAAATACAGATACAAGTGAAGACATCTGTACTTGAATGTGTGTTCACATATTGAAAATGTAACTGCATATTTTAAATGTAATTTGTTAGCAAAGAAACCTACTACTTGTCTGTATTGTTCACTGTCAACAATTTCCTAATACTGTGAGTGAGTCAGTTTAGTTTTACGCGGCACTCAGCAACATTCCAGCTATCATTACGGCGGTCTGTAAGTAATTGAGTCTGGACCAGACAATCCAGTCATCAACAGCATGAAGATCGATCTACGCAATTGGGATACGGCGGAATGTGTCAACAAAGTCAGCGAGCCTGACCACCCGATCCCGTTAGTCGCCTCGTACGACAAGCATGGGTTACTGAAGACCAAATCTAACCCGGATCTTCACGGGTCCCGGGTCTATATGGAACGAAAGTGGGTTCCAGTAGCTGAACGCAAATGAAATGTAAATAAATACAAACATGTTTTCTCATTTTGTTTGTATGAATATAAGCTAATTATCTTAGCAAAATGCCCACATTGGTCCTAAACACCATTTCATAAAGGCTTGACAATGCGCCTTGATACAAAGGACTGTTAACTTTGAATGAGATTGGGTAGAAAGCGGAAAGGTTCTTTGTCTTTCAGTAACCATGACAAGTCTCGAATGACGTTATATGCTGTAATGAAGCAGGCGTCTCCCAGTCGGGGGTTACTTGGGCTCTATTTCTTAATGGCAATATGACGCATTTTCTAAATGTTCAGTTATTTATTTAGCATTGTATCAGTAAGAGCAAGAATAAGCACTCATGCACAGGACGATGGAGTCGACTATGGACTATCATTTTTACTTTGATTTCATCGATCGAATTCGCCCGAGTGTGTTAGTATATGATGAAAGTCCCTTCTATGCCTTTTGGATCCTTTGACCTAACTAGGAAAATCGCTATTAGAGTTTGCCTAGCGAAATTTAAATTGCCCCTTCATTGTTAACATGTAATTTCATGACAGGGATGACTATATACAGTGAAGAAACAGACTATGGCCAATACGAATCTATTCACAGGACCAGTACAAGATAAATGAAAACTACGTGTATGTATCTTTACCAGGACAATTAGAAACAGATACAGAGAAGAATTAACAATTACATCTGCAGAAATGAACAAGTTGAAAATTGACACAATACAAATTCCGTCATTGTGTTGTAAAACTCACGTCGTTGAACTTCTCATGTTGGATGATTCATGTAATATTGAGATCGACCCGATTAAACCACCAGTCATAAATCCTCCCCCAAAAGCGATAATTGCTCCCCCAAGAGAGAAATTAAAGACCTCTTTAGCTGATATGGGTAGTCCAGATGTCATCATGAAAGTGGACAAGCCCACAGACTGGGTCAGTTCATTGGTGAAAATTGAAAAATCAATTGATCCTAAACATCTAAATAAGGTCATAGAACGTGAACACTTACACCTACTAACTATATCGCGGAAATTACAATCAGGATATCGGGACGAAAACGTACTCTAAGATTGAGGCAAACTCGGAAAGTGAAGCTGGACGAACTGCTCGCACTATTGTTTACACGGTTTTGCAGATTCTGTTTCCTCAGAATGCCGTTTGGGATCAAATCCGGTCAAGAGGTATTGCAGAAACAAATTTATCAGATATTTTAGGATCTTAAGTTTGAGAATGACACAGATGACATGTCGATATGGGACATCACACCGGAAGGGCATGACCAAAGGCTCTAAGAAGAGTATTTCTGCAATGTAAGGAAATCAACCTTACACAAAAGCAAGTGCAAGATTCCAGTACAAGAAATTATCAACCTGGGCCATAAAAAAATAAGCAATCAGCAAAATGCTGCCACAAGGAAAACAATGAGTGGAACAACTGTTTGGATTTGTCAGCTTCATTGCAAAAGATATTCGTAATCTGTACTGAGGTAAGAGAACCAATGACACCACCGTTGAAGAAAGAATATGAATTCCTCTGGTCTTTGGACCTGAAATCGCAATTTCTCGCGGAGGACCTGTTCCATTATTGAAGTTGCATGACATCACCAAACCGTTGGTAGTACCATGTGATGCATTCATGTTTGGCCCGGGAGCTGTCCTTCATCAGCCAATGTATTGCACATGCATCAAAGTTCAAGGACTGAAGCACAATAGCGATGTGCACAGATAGCTAAAAAGGACTACGGGCAGGTGTGTTCAGCTTAGAACAATTTCACCAGTACACCTGTGGTAGAGATATCAATGTAACATCAGACCACAAACCATCGGGATCCATACTGAAGAAGCCTCTGACCAAGACCACCTAGATTACTGAGGATCTTACTCAGGTTAGAGAAGTATATATATTGGTTCAACTTGATGCACAGACCAGGAAAGGAGATGGTACTGGGTGGCACACTCTCAAGGCCGCACATGCAGTGATGGTGAAAACCAAGAAGATTACATTACGTACTATGCACATACTCTCACTTGAAACCTGTCGGTTACAGATGCAAAATTAGCAAAGATGAGGATATGAACTTTCTGAAGTCAATCATTCGATATGGATAGCCTGATAACAAACCATCTGTTCTCAGTAGAGTTTTGACTCGTACACAATTTTAATGACCTTCCAGTATCTGTGCAGTATTAGTTAAGCACGTTGATTGGAGGGACTTTCTTTTAAGTTCTACATGGTTTTGGACGTCACGGTTATTTGAGGGGCTCTTTCTTGGTCTAACGGTCTGAAACCAACCCTGCAAAATATGCAAAAATATTCGCGACTTGTCCTACACATGAACAGGACTGTCACAATTTGTTGCCTAACACGTTTTTGTCCCACGTACATGACCTGGACAGTTTGTTTTTGTCGAAGTGTATTCAATGTAGCATATCGCCTTAAATATCTTTTTCAATGAATAGAACATTGCGTATACCAATGTCATTTTTCTTGCTTTGAAGAGTATATCAATATCATATCTATTGTTGTGCAAAGTGGACAGCGCCAACTCTACTTACTCTTGGCTTGTGTGATGGGGATCTTTCTTATGCGTCAAATTAGTGTAACGAGGATATTTGCTGTGTTCATACGGCATTTTCTTCTTCGACAATCTGTAAATGATTATATATACATACAAAATAAGTATTCATACCATAGTGTGTTCGATATTGCAACTGATTTATTTCTTCTCAAGCACTGTTTTGTACATGGGTATGATTTAATAACGTATTCCTTTATGCAACAGCTCTACCTTCAACCGTTGCATACAAAGTCAGTGATATAACTGCAAGACCTTTATAATATACGATTATATCTCATTACATATGTTTATTAAATTCTTAGATTCACAAATGCCATGAACAATTCAATCTGATGTTGACAAAGACCAAATAGAGGTATCCTTTACGAGCTGGATTCAACAAATTTGCTTGCCCGACAGAAAACAACACTGGACTCAGACGTCGGGAAATGGGTTATTTCCACCCCTGAATAGGCATGCTCCAGGCTTGCCAGTCTACTGTGGCTGTTGCACGTGCCATGAGATGCAGTATACGGACAAATCACAACCTGAAGACACGTGAACATCAAACGGGTACGACAGGTCAGGACGGCCATGTGTGACGTCATATGCCGAGGACAATCAAATTTGGCTGCGTCATTTGCGTAATCATTTTACGGCCAGAAAGTTATTCAGAATCACGCTGTATAGGGGTCGCGCAACTGCCCAGACAATACGAAACAGCTTGCGCGCTGCTTATCTTCGAATTTGTGCCAAGAGTACACAGGTAAACCGTAATGAACGTCTACGCTCTTCACAATTGCACACGAAATGTCCGTACTTCACCGTAATACCAAATCCTGACCTAGTGTACACTCATCGCGTCAATAAACCACCAGATGTATCCACCCGCAACACATTTGTTTTCTACAGTACAACCAGAATTATTGAGAATTTAAAGATTGTATTTTTTTTTTCACTCATTACTCACGTATTAAATGTGATTATTAGCAGAACATAACTTCAGATTCAAAGACAGGTGAACAGTTAGTATTTTGTCAAGTCACCATGGGCAGCAATGCATGCCTTAATGCGGCGGGGCATACTACTGATCAAAGAAGTTAGAAAGTCGTGGTCCACACTGTCCCAATATCGGACCACCTCTTCTTTCATTTCAGCAATATTTGTCAGATTTTTCTTATTGACACTTTCCTTCATAAGTCCCCAAACATTTTCTATTGGATTAAGGTCAGGGCTATAGCTTGGCCAATCTAATAATGTCAGATTTTGGGTCCGAAACCAGGCCTGTGAATGCTTTGAACGATGTTTTGGGTCGTTGTCCGGCTGGAAAATCCAAAAATGTCCATAGGACACATGAGCAGATGGAAGTAAATGTCCTTCGAGAATATCTGTGTACCGCTCACTGTTCATATTCCCTTCAAATACACAGAGGGGCGTTGCCCCTAACACAGATATGCCACCCCACACGTTAAATTTCGGACTGTACTTTGGGCGTTGATACAAAGGTTTCTCAGCTTGTTTGGTCCAGAATTTCAGTGTATTAGGAAACAGCCACACAGAACTTTCATCTGAGAAAATCACATTGTCCCAGTTAAAATTTCTATGCTGTAAGCACCAGTTCAACCTTCGCTCCTTTTGTTCAGGTTTCATGATCGGTGATGGAATTCCTCGACTTTTCTGCCAACCCATTGCATGCAGCTCAGTTCTAATTGTCTCCTTACAGACAGCCACAGTTCCTCTATCAATCATATCCAGCCTTAAGTTTTCTAAACTCCTTCGTTTGTTTTTAGAAAGAAGAATACTAAGCCGCCTCCTGTCACTGACAGTCAATTTTCTGGGCCTACCTGCGCCTCCCTGGTGCTCAATGCCATATCCATTTGCAATATTTTTCAAAACACGATAAACAGTAGACAAAGGGATGCCTGTTCTACTTGAAATCACCTTAGCTGATCTGACGTCCTTGTTATAATACTCTAAAATCAACTTCCTCTTCTCTAAATCATCCATACTGAGGATCACTGAAAATGTCGTCTGCTAGCAAGTAAACAAAGGGGTATAACTCTTCACAAACTAATGAAAACGGATTAACGGAGTTGTCTCTCTTGAATGAAACCAAGCACTTGATAGCTAGTCAAGGTAGTAGTATATACAATGATGGTACGGGACCAGGTCCCCCCAAGGACTCAATTTACAAAACTGAGCCCTTGGGGGAGGCACAAATCCCGTACCATCATTGTATACACTACTATTGAGTTGCATGCAAAATTCGAAAATCGGTCGAATAGTTTCTGAAATATTGACTTTTAAGTGAGCATGGGGTCGGTCGGGAAAAATCAAGGGCTTTTATAAGAATCTCATTTTCGCTTGGGCTACCCATTTTTTCAGCAACCACAAACCCCATATTCGACCCGATACCAAGACAGGTATGCAAAAAACTGGCACCACACAGACTGTTTCCATAGCCGACAGCAAATAGTCTAGTCTTACCCCAATTGTATAGTTTTCTAGACAGACCCTCCGACAGCTCGCCTAGTATTTTTGCAGATGCACAGTCGCGGGTTTGGGGTTGCAAAAGACGAATGGAGTCGTAGACTTATCTAGGCCCGTTTCCGTATTCCAACTGCCGGAAAGTAAGGTGCACGCCCGGATGAAAAAAAACCCCGCATGGTTCGTATACCCTACTACAATACTTTTTTCCGAATAGGCTGCATTCCACACATTGACTTCTCAATAAAGTGTTAGTTTTTGCTACGATTGTACAGCAAATCGTAGCAAAAAGTAGCACTGTCCTGGGATTGTGCGGTAATTTCTTTCCCCACTGGATTTCCTGGATTTGCAGTGGGATGGAGGAAAAACCGGCCTTCCCAGGAAAAAATGGGATAGGATTGGGATTTCCATATAGACATATAGGAAGTATGAAAAATATAGGAAAAATTTCAACATGCCTCCGAAAAAAGAACTGTCGCAAGACCAAGTCCAAGAAACACGTGCACTTCCAGGTGTGCTGTCGGCAGCCGAGACCAAAAAGCATTTCGTGAAATGACTAAACATTCACGAAATGACTAAGAAGTTTTTCCATTTCCCAGGCAGAAAGAATGGTGAAGAGAATCCGAGTTGAACTGAAGGCAGGACAGGTGGGTGACAATGTTGTTGTGCCCATCCCACTGGTGGACCGTGGAAGGGGAGATCCAACAGACAGAGTAGTAGACAGAGATGACAATGACATGTATTCGAAGACTGCAATCCTCAAGGGAAAATATTCCCGTTGCCAGTTCGATCTCTGTACCCAGAAGCTGCTGACAGAGACAGATGTGGACACAGAGTAACATGTTTCTCTGAGAGAATCTGTGACGCAGTCATCTATGTGTGATGGACAGGCGTTTGTGACGTCTGGCTGCTGAAGACAAAGCAAGTGTCAAAACAAACAAGTGTAAATGCTTCAAAGCCAAGCTGAAGTGCAATAGTCGCTGCAACAACAGTTTTAACTGTTCAACGAAGAAGTGGTTTGAAATTGTGATCCAAGTGATGTTCAAGTTATGGTCCCATTAGTTATATGTGACATAACATCTAATTTCGTGAATTATATGTCAATATAGCTTGTTATCAAAACTTTCTTGTCTGTTATTAGTCACTTGTATCTTCACAACATCATTTCATTCATTTCGTGAAATGACTTAACCTCTAAATCTGGAAATTTTAGTTATTTTGCAAAATGACTGATTTCACAATAAGTGGAGCTGACTGTAACATATATACTGAGAGTACACCATGTTCCAGTAAAAAGATCAAATCTATATCATGTCCTTGGTATCTTTACAGATTAAAATATTTTATGCAGCAAAGAGAATTCGGGTGATCATAGCACAGTCAGACTGGTTAAGTTCGTCGTCATTTCGGGGTCATTTCCCCATTTACACGCAGCCCAGATAGTGAATGGGACTTCTCACAGGAAGAACTGCCTACGAGCGTGTCATGAGGGCTGTGCTATGGATGGAGAACCTGGCATTCTCCTGATCAGCAGCAAGAGATCAGGAGGTACCAAACAATGGCTAGTCGGACAACAATATGCTTGGCATGCAAGCGAGACATTTCAAAGGCGAGATACGCATATTTGCCATGTTTTTCCTGAATCTTGTCAATCACATTGCTGTCAAAAGGGACAGAAAAATCTGTGATATAAATAATTCTATGGCTTGTATAAAAAGGACTTGGATGTGTCCGAAGCTGTATATGGGGATATTCCCAAGAATTTTATCATTGTCATTTTCCATGACACACCCTACATAATCTGGTTTGTACTGTGGATGGACTTCAGAGTTAAAGCTACAAGCATGGCGAAGACGGTAATAAAAGGACCGAGCAACGTCATCATGTTGCATAAGATTCTGTGTCTGTGCCAATGCTTGGCATCCACTTAGAAGATGCTGGACGGTCTCATTAAATTCATTACGCAATCAACATTTCATATTTACATTTTGAGGTAACATCACACGTTGACGGTTATGAGTGGGACGTGACTGGTCCTGAGCAACAAATAGAAAGTCTTCTGTTTCACTTTTCGGGTAAGCCAACTTCATCCACGCTGTTGCTCAGTCTTTTCTACGACGTACACTCGGTGCAGCGGTCGTTCACCGAGTCTTCCCTTCAAACACTGAGCCTGTCCTTCACTTGGTTGACACTCATTTCTGTACCGTCCAGCAGTACAGAACCGTCAACAAAATCAATATTGACGTTGAAATTTTGTCCAACAGCCTTGGCTCTTATTAGATAGCTGTGGGATGCTTTGTTTTCATCAAGAGTTTTGATATGCTTCACAAGGATCATTAGACAAATAAATGTGTGCAAAAGTGCACAATAAAATTATGTAATGTATAAATGCGAAGAGTCTCCACGTTAATCGAACCACTCCCTCCCTATTAGAGTTAATAAACATAAACGATATAGGGAAGAGCGATGGTGGTAGGCTTTATTGTCTGACATGATTCTTCTTGTGAGGGTGTCAGTACTCTTGATTCGCCCAATCAACAATTCCAAAAGAATATGTGAGGACACATTCTCTTCCCACAGAGGTTACTTGTCATATCTTCCTACGAACCCCTGTTCTAATACGGCCCTTTCATGGTGCGAGTGTTCAGGATTCGTGATTGGTTGCAATCAGATTTAGTTGTGCAATCAGCGACGTTGTTTCAAATGTGATCAATCGCAAGGCCTCGGTAATTTCCGTATGCTTCGGGGAAACTAAAATCTCTTCCCCTGCGCGATGCGCAAACGTTTCTTCTAGACAGAACTCAGTTGTGTAATGGCGGATCAATGGCGTCTCCATCGCCCTCGTTGACAACGGACAAGCTAGCCATTAAATGTTTTGTGTGTCACATATGTCCCCGTCAGAGGAGGGATATTTGTGGCCCCATATTTACTTGCATTAGTCCAGTTAGATCTAAGTCGATGTAACACGTGTTCTGATTGGATAGAAAGAACGGAGATAATTTGTGTTGCGATTTTTTGCCGCTAGGGGATTTTACGGGAACCGGGAAAGATGGCCGTATTAGAACAGAGGTTCGTAGGAAGATATGATAAGTAACCTCTGTGGGAAGAGAATGGTGAGGAGTCAAGCTGCCAAACACGGTCACCCATCCAAGTACTCTCCGCGCCCAACGTTGTTTAACATCACCACATTATATGGGCACTCTGGGTTTTTCTGTAACCTTCATCCCTACATATGTATAGGCCTTCCACAAGACGGTCAATAAATCCTCAACCAAGTAAATTAACTGATCCTTCTTCTTCTATCTTGCCACGTTTCAGATGAAGAGTATTGTATTTGTCGAATCCGAGGGACATATTGTCAATGTGATAAAAGCTTTACTGAAATAAATATTAGGTTCAGTTTTAACTGAAACCTGACAGATGGAGAAAATGATTGTCAAGCTGATAGCTGTCTATAAGTCAAATAGACATAATGACCTTTGTCTCTGCTTATAAGGCACTGTCTATCATAGCAAGAAATAAATTAAAATGGTATTTTATCGTGTATATTGATGTAGTTGTTTTCCAATTTCTCATTGTCATTGACCACGTTTGCTATCGCGACAAAAGATGTTCATACAAAAACATTTCTGACGATGTAAGAAATAGCAAATACAGCAAAGTGCGCGTTGTACACAGCATTTGGATTTGCGTCGGCAAATGATATAACCAGTTCTAATCGTACCCAGTGTGAACGTTTCGGGGGGGTAGTAAAAAACTGAACGATTCTTTTCAAGGAGTGACCGCCTCTGTGGTGTAGTGGTTAGAGCGTCCGCCCGGGGAGCGGAAGGTCGCGGGTTCGATCCCCGACCACGTCATACCAAAAGACGTTAAAATATGGTACTTGTTGGTCCCTGCCTAGCGCTCGGCATTAATGGGTACAACAAGGACTGGTCGGCTCGGAGTCAGTATAATGTGTCTGAGTGGGGTATTCATGCTTCACTGCGGCATGGTATCTCAGTGGGCTAGCACTATAAAACCAGCTTCAGTCTGGGCTAGTACAAGCAGTCGCACATACGCATACACACGCATGCACGTCGTCATATGAGCGAAATATTCTCAAGCATGACGTAAACCCAATTTCACCTCACCTCACCTATTTAAGGAGTACTGCAGTGTTCACAGCGATTCATATACTGGACAACAACAGTTAGGGATATATGTAAATTTTGAAATTATGAATAATGATCTATTTATTCATTGACACTCTGATAAAATATCAATCATTAAAATACCAATATCCCTAACTTATTTTGTCCAGTATATTAATGGTGAAACAATTGTGATTTGTCAGTCAACCTAAACTTGGTGACACAGATAGGAAAACTACTGAACAGGTCCCTTACTGACATTTATAAAAATAGTATATTCCTGAATTGCACTTGTCGTATGGTGTTTAAAAACAGATACAGATACATATTATTGGTGAAAAGTCCTACCTGTGAAACAAGTCATCATCTTCACCTCCCCACATGAAGAACAAGTTAGAGTAACCGTTGATGGTCGAGAAATATGTCTTATTGAAAGTGACCACACCACCAAAGTGATTTCTGTACAATGTCCTGGAATCACATATGTGAGTAATGCTTAAAGCACTGCATGCGAGTAGTCTAGTCACATGGCAGTTTATCAGATTGTAGTTGGGGTGAGTGACCTGACTTGGAATACTCAGTTCAGGTTCAGACAGTTAAACCGTGGCCTTATACATCAGATTACCCAACCACCGAAACACGTTAGATACAAGAACATTTTGCTTTTTCAATATTTGAAAGTTTCATTCTGGCTAGGCTCAAAAAGTATCTGTCCTATCAATATAATATATGAAAGATGAAATGCATCAAACACCAACGCATAAACACACCAATCAATCATGAAAGTACACTGTCACCATTACAATGTTCGCTCATCTTAATTATCATTTCTGGCTTATCCTTGCAACCAAACGTTGCCTGCTGTATAATGGGCATATGTTCTCTATACTTAATAAAATCTGTCCGTCTGTAATGCTGTAATGTTTTCTCCGTGTAAAAACCTTGTAACAAATGTTATGTGTGATACCAACAACACTGGATGATAGTTATGACAACGAATGGTCGACCCCCCTGATCCTGTCTTGAAAGTGACAAGATGAACAGTGATCCTACAAAATTTTCCTGATTCAATTTAATTGGGCACTATATTTTTTGCAGAAAGGATGGCAAAGAGTTGACTACCTGTAATTCTTAAAGGCAAGTTTTTGAGAGTGATGCAAAGCCTTCTCCCCACAGAAGTAGGTATTCCGCTCACTCTCAGGCACCAAGTCGACATCATGGAAGGTGAAACAGTCAAAATGACACAGAGCCTTGGCTTCAAGGTAACCAATGTTTTTAATCATTCCTCTGTTAAAAGGAGTACCATTTTCCTGAAAATATAACACGTATTATTCGTTGCTTGTCAGTAGAGTACCTCATAACAAAAACAAAAAGATCAGAATCATTCAGGTCTATTCCCCCGCCACATATTTCATTTCTAAATATCTTAAAACGGAAAATTGAGTAGTGGGATTCATTATGAAGTCGAACATTGTTTGTGGTATATGACAGTGGGTTAGCGAGCACATGTCGTTAGCTGTGAGGTTTGCAGTCAACTCACCTGCTCCACCACAAAAATGGCATACTCCGCTTGTTGCTTCTGAAGCACTCTGTGGAGGTTGTTGAGGAGGATCTTCAGGTTCACCTCTCTGTCTCTATATGGAATTATTATGGCAAGTCGCTGTGGGAAAGCACATCCGGCGGGCTGGTGGTATCCCCAGGGAAAGTGTTGCGGGTGCATTCAAGGTTCTCTCAAGATCAAGCCATGGAAGTGATTCGTTTATTATTCGTCGTGTCTCTCCTGAATTATGAAAAGTATTGTAACATTCTTTGATCAGAGGTAGCCATGGCTCGTATCTTAACCCAAAATATTAGTGACCCAAATACATGAAGACTATCACACATCAGACAGATCTCGTACATTTGGAAATATAGATGTTTCAGAAATGATTATTGATCTAATATATATTTTAATTCATATAATGATATAGGCAATCTCACCCGAGTGTCCTTTGATATCAAATATATCACCACGAGTTGATAAAGTAACAAATATCCGAGGTTTGCCGGGGATAGTTTTACTTTTATCAACGAGTGTTGATATATTTGATATCAGAAGACACCAGGGTGAGATTCTATTTATCATAAGAATAAACTCTTCATAGTTTTCAATGAAAAAATGTACATCTCTGAACACAGTACTGCCATTAGACTGCAATGCAGCGATGTCATAGCATTGTGACGTCATCGTACACGTGTTACACCTGCTATCAACCTGATAAATATAATCCTACACATGTTACACCTGCTATCAACCTGATAAATATAATCCTACACGGGTTACATCTGCCATCAACCTGATAAATATAATCCTACACATGTTACACCTGCTACCAGCCTGATAAATATAATCCTACACATGTTACACCTGCTACCAACCTGATAAATATAATCCTACACTTGTTACACCTGCTACCAACCTGATAAATATAATCCTACACGTGTTACACCTGCTATCAACCTGAAAAATATAATCCTACACATGTTACACCTGCTACCAACCTGATAAATATAATCCTACACGTGTTACACCTGCTATCAACCTGATAAATATAATCCTACACATGTTACACCTGCTACCAACCTGATAAATATAATCCTACACGTGTTACACCTGCTATCAACCTGATAAATATAATCCTACACATGTTACACCTGCTACCAACCTGATAAATATAATCCTACACGTGTTACACCTGCTATTAACCTGATAAATATAATCCTACACGTGTTACACCTGCTACCAACCTGATAAATATAATCCTACACGTGTTACATCTGCTATCAACCTGATAAATATAATCCTACACGTGTTACACCTGCTACCAACCTGATAAATATAATCCTACACGTGTTACATCTGCTATCAACCTGACAAAGAGGAATGCGATAATCCCGAAAATGTGGTTCCAGAAATGTCATCTACCTGAATCTTCTGTATATGCGCCAAGACAAATGTCGGCACATATTGGTAACACAGAAGCCCTTATGATCAGTACATATTACATTGTCTTTTGTAAGAAACGCCCGCGTTTCTGTGGTACCATCCTTTCTATTAAATGGAATAAGTGAATCCTGTTTGAAATGGATGATATAGCACAGTCAGCTAATTCAAGTATAAATAAACGATTTTTGTCCTGGTAAAGGAACAATTCAAAGATTCAATCAAAGATTCAATGCATGATGAAAAATAAAATTCCTTAGGATTGGGTGTGAAAAGATCTGACATACAAAATTCTGACATCTATAATACCACCGTTTTGTTATATGAATCCTAGTTCACAAGGATACCAAACTCTAGTGGTGAGGCAGAGCTTACGAGTATGACGCTATCATTTCATTCAGCTCATTTTCTGGGTAAAATGTGACTATAACAGCTTGTTACAAAGGCTCGCCGAGGTGGGGTTATGATAATAAACAGTCATCGGGGTTACAAATGAGCTGACTCTTATGCCAGCTCTAACAGGGTTCACCACAATTCTCTTTGTATAATGGTGAATAATCATTCCAAGTTTGCACCTTTGAAAAGAAATTGAAATTAAAGTAAGAAACAAAAAGACAACTCACTAAGGTTGTTCTGCTGACATGGAAGAAGACTTTGAGAATGAACAGGGAAAACGCATGACTGCTCAGTTTCTCGTCTCAGGTCTCCCTCCGAAATACTTATTTCCTTTCCAAAAGGGTTGAAACGTGCTTGTTCGTCGCCCCTTGTCTTGTGGCTGACAAAGTTGTGATTCTTTAAATGCTGGTAGTGGTATACAGCAAAAACCAGAAGGTTCATAAAACATACAACCAAAAGACCTTTGAATTGTCTCTTCATCATTGTCAACAATCTTCTCAATTTCAAGCCGCCCAACTTGTTGAAAGGTGTTCTCAAACAGCCTATACAGATGATATTTGACGTACGATTATGTATCGAGTTTCCGCATATCTACTCACAGCTACTGGTATTTTCTTGACACACATATGGTCGTCAGGATGGTGTTTCTCTGTTTGTAGTCGTCCTTTGTCTGTAACCAAACCTGAAAGTGCAAGAAGATGTTTAGTGCACAGGACCAATTACAGTAAATAGCATTTGTTTGAAACGTCTATGGGCCGGTGGTATGTATCTTTGCAAAAAACAGGTCTCAAAAGCTGCAGCCGTGGCAAATGTGTGGCAGTTCAATCGAACAGAAGCAAACATTGAACTAAAACAGTAGGTTGTGAACGAACGAGGTCTGAGATCTCGCAAAGGTCTATTTCTGATCAGAACTGCCAAAGGGGTTGGGGGTGGGGAGGTAATAAAAGCCAGTGTGGAGAGATGATATCAAAATCAATATTAGCAATATCAATATCTGAGTTCATGTGCAGGAACCTTCTTGGGTTTCGTATAAAACAGTTCATCTCAAAGTGGCTAAAACATTGGGAGTCATTGGTAGCATTGGAACTTAATTTAGTGATGTATTGAAGAGACAATATAATGTGGCGTTGTTTTATAGTTGATTTATTTGGCTCCACAAAGAGGCTATCAACAGGAGAAGTCCGAAAAGCATTAAGGCATAACATGAGTCCTTGGTGGTGTATTGTGTCCAGATTACTCTTGCAGGCTCCTGCAGAGGCAGTGGAACCATAGTCCAATTTAGAACGTATCAGCGACCTATACAAGTGGAGAAGTGTTGTTTAAAAAATATCCCAAACGTTTGGCTTTGTTACAAATCTCAACTCGATTGCCATCTATAAACGATCCTTTTGATGTTTATATTTTCGACAAACATAGGAGAAAGTGTCCTGTTGTCTAAATATGATCGAAAATATTGGTGTCTGTGTGTGTGTGCGTGCGTGCGTGCGTGTGTGTGCGTGTTTGTGTGCGTGCGCACAACAAACACACTTATTCATAAGCATGTTGTCCCATGCCATTCCCCCTTTTGACTTGGACAGCATTTACGGGTGAATGTCGTTTCTGGTCAATGACTTGTCATTGAATGAGTGAATAAGTGAGCGAGTTTATATGTATCGGCAATATCTCAGCCATATCATGACGAACAATTTAAAAAATAGAGATGAATACATTTTGAAAGTCTGTCGAGGATGGACAGTAAAACTACCAAAGTATCACAGATTGTAGGTATTAACTAATGAATAAGTGGGAGAAATCTTTCCCATCCACTAGAGTTCAACAAGAGTATGAAAAAAGCAACGGAAATGGAAAATTGACAAGTATATCCAAAAAGACATTAAAACATTAAAAATGTGGCTATGTAGCCATTTGGCGTTACCGACACATTATCTTTTAAACTCATGTTCTTTATCTTAATAGCGAAATATATCCCATGTTAAAAAAATTATTAGGCGTGATATAACATCAACATTTATATGAAAACTGGGAAATATGGTTAATAGCGCCATTTCAAAATCTGCGTGAGTTGGAAGCAGCTTTCCACAAAGAATGGCGACAGTTTCCTCTGCCACAGTACGCGGACTGATGGGGGCTATCCGACGTAGGGTACAGGCAGTTATCCAAGCACCAGCTGCAGGAGGGAACACTAAATGTTGATTGTCAGGGGAGGAAATAACCCATTGCCCGACGCCCGAGTCCAGTGTATTTTTCTGTCGGGCAAGCAAATTTGTATATCACACTGTACCGGTGTCCAGTTGATATTCCAATGTTAATTATGTTGTTTATTTTTAAAAATCAACAAGAAAACGGCCGGTATAGTGGGAAAATGATCAGGGCAAGTGATTTTACATGTGCCACTGTACCGGAGGACACTAACAATTTTAAAGTTATTTCCACCCCTGATTGTACATCAGTCCTAGGTTACATATATACGTTTTTTGTCTCATCACATACACGCCATGTTGCCTGGTCGTCTCTCAAGCACCATTCGTGTAACAGGTATCATTTTCAGCCTAAACAGATGCTTTTTGTAGTGCCTTATCCATTATTAAAACGTTGAAGGGAACTATCCTTTTTGTGTAGTCATGACGTGATCTTACAGAACAAAACATGCAGCTTTACCAACGTACTGTGCGTGCACGCCAGCCGAAACATACAGCTTACCGTGGGTGCTTAACGTGTTTCTAGGTGTATAGTGCCGTAGCACATATATAAACACAAAAACCACACGAGTGGTTCTTCGACATGTTCCCTCTAATGTGAACGGCTGTAGGTGAATTCGTAGACCAGACTGGTTCGTAGACATGGAAATCCAGTGGATTCGTAGGCGGATTGAGTGGTGGATTCGTAGACGTTAGTAAAATGGGAAAAGTTCAACCTCAATGATGATGAAAATCGATATTATGACTTTAATGTAACCGAAAGGTGTTTGCATTTAATCAGTATGGGTAAAAGTTACTAGTAGAAATCATCATACCTTGATCGGCACTTTCTACCGTGCTGATAAGAGTAATCGTTACTGGGATCTTATTGATATGTCAATTGGAAACGCATCTGATTTAGACATAGATATGGTAATTACGGGGGATTTTAATATTGATTATCTTAGTAATAAAAAACAGCGTCGCATAAATGTTGTTTGTTTAAACCAAAAGATATGTATTAGGTAAGATATGTATTATGTATGGCCATTTTCATTGACTTTAGTAAAGCATTTGATATGGTTTGGCAAAACGGCCTCATACAAAAACTCCAAAAATATGCCATTAACGGCAGAATTC